CTTTGGATTATATTTATTCAAGGATCGCGAAATAAAAATTTGAAGATGCATTTCTGTCATAATAAAGCGTCGTGTAATATTTAATACATTGCAATAGTCAGAGAATAGCACAAATGATCCAGCAAAATCGTGCAAGCCCAAAGGGAACCCCGTTACATGGAACACCTGTTGCATTCGAGAATTACGAAGCGACGCGACGGTCTTCTACAACGATTACACGTGCGCTTCAAGGTAAGAAGACGGTACTCTCCGATACCACACATGCACGGTATCGAGATGGCCAGGTAAAATTCTTGTTGAATGCCAGGTGAAATGTCAGTCGATGCACCCACGTGATTCCCGGCCGCTGATATTAAAAACCTGTCGCGCTATTTCCTCGCGTCAACTCGCCGTCACTCGCGCGCCGACTCTCAGCGATTTAACTCACGATCATTGCCAGAGATCGATTTGAAATCTCGTTAGAGACAGGCGACTGCTCCTTGCTTTACGCTCCGCTACCTTTGTACTTCGAATTTTTGTAAGGAAAATACAGTTTTTTTTCATGGGAGTCTATTTCATTAACGAAACCCATTTATCTAATTAATTAATTATAAAAATATAGCCGGTTGCTTTTATAAGTGTGCATTTCTAATATTTGTGAGACAAAATATAGTTTCGTGTATGGAAGTGTTTTTTATTAACAAATCCCAAGGATTTATGTAAATATGAAAGTGCAGCCGGTTGCTTTTATAAGTGTGTATCTCTAATGTTTGTAAGACGAAATACAATTATACGTATGTGAATATACAGTGCTGTTCACTTGGATAGTCCCGAAATGTTACTTTTTCGTAGGAAATTGTATGTAGTATGAGTAAAATAACATAGATATGTAAAATAATAAAATGTAGGATTACTGTAAGCATCAATTAACTGTGACTAAACACTTGAGGCTATTCAGAAGTTTCTTATATTTCCAATATGTTTTTGAAGTGTGTACATCATTATAAACTAATTTCATCTACTAATTTATAATACAAACGGATCTAATTAGTTAATAAACAAAAATTTTCAATAAATTCCTTTCTTCGATGTAAGCTTACATGCATATATCGATTTTCACCTAAGGCTATTTAAATGAAGAGCACTGTATTTTATTACTAAATCCCAAGGATCTATGCATTAATGGAAATACGTACAATTAATAAATGAAGTATTGATAGAAAAGTGATAATACTTGGGAAACTGGTTATACAGTTAAGAATATAAATAGCAATCTTTGTAAATCAAAGTTTCTGTAGAAAAACTCGAGAGACGGGGAACATAAATTGTATTTAGTAGCGTGCTACTTTCCCGGGCCGTCGCACACCTGTTCCCAAAGCGTTTCTCTCAAATTAAGGATGCGTGTTAAGTCTCGGACGACTCTTCAAGCTTTCGAACCTTGAACACCGGGCATTCTCTGTTTTGTAGCGAGATATGGAGACAGACGACTGGTTCTGTGATCAGGATACATTGAAATACGATGAAGCTTGTGTCAATCTGCGGACAACCGATGAACGATCGGATCTCTGGCTCTATCTACTATCCACCGACTGTGCGCTCGTGAGTCACGTTTTTACCCGCTTCGTGCTTTGCATACCTTTCGCTTCTTTTGTCCAGTACTAATCGTACATAATCTGACGATTTAATCGAAACCTTTTATCACTGCGATTGAAGAGATTAGAGATCTTTTGTACAAATTGTTTACAACATGATTTGATACATTTTTAAGATTTTTATACATAATTTATTAAAATGAAAGAATTTTTATTCGATTACAGTGTCCTTATACGAGGATTAAACAGATCTTACCGAACGTCAGTTCTAGCGTGATAATCGACACTGTCAAACCGACGGTATTCAGAATTTTTGACTTTCATAATTCCGAAGATCCCGGCGAATTCGTGTCTGCTAAAAATACGAGGTACACCTGGAAAAATTGCACAATTCGATATCCCCGATGCTAACCCACATACTCATTCCAGCAAGGTGATTTGCGAGCTGATGCCAAACCTTGGACAGTTCGGCGTTTATGATCTCTCTGTACAAAATCGAAGCTGCGACGTGAAAGTCCTAAACGAGCCGACTTATCCTTACACAGGTAATTGCAATCTAAAAAGCNTGCACATAGCATTTTTCTAGAAATACATAAAATCCGCAATCTAGTAATAATTAAGTAACTGAATAAACCACGGTATTAGATTCGTTTAATGATTAGAGATATCGAATGACTAGAGATAAGTTATCTCGTTGTAAAGACAATAGCAAATTTATTGAGATCGCCGCTCCAAATCTCGATCTCGATACTAATTGAAATAATATTTACCATTCAAGTGCCTATCAATAATCATGAATTATGATATTCTTCTTTAATTTAAAATTTAGTACATTTACGTATAATTCTAGAGCTGTTCGTAATTTTCGGAGTATTGATTCTCGTCCTGTTTGGATTATCCGGGTCGAAATCTTTGTGGCACGTGTACAGGAGAAAATGCATGAAAAGTCAAACGGACGTCGACGCTGCGACGAGGCACCCCGCGAAACGTCGAGTAAAAGCTATCGACGTTGTTCGAGGGTATATTTTCCTTTCACACGATTGTAAATTACAAGTATTATATATATATTGGAAAAAATTCAATAGATTTTAAGTTTATTAATAAATACACATACAGGGTATCCCAAAAAAAGTGTTCGAGTGAATGAAGAGTGAGTTTGGTAGTGTTTCTGAACAAGAATAATAATTTGTAAATCATGCCACACTTTACATTATGCCAAAGAAAATTGTTGTTCAGAAACACTTCTAGAGTCACCTCTCTTTCGCTCTCTAATTTTTTGGAATTTACCCTGTATACGCTTTACTACAGGGTAATAATAAGAATAATAATAATAATATTGTAGAGCAAGTACGCTGTTGATGATATTTGTGAACGACGGCTCGGGTGGTTATAGAATTCTTGGCCACACAACTTGGAATGGATTACTTTTAGGGGATTTATTGTTTCCTTGTTTTATATGGGTCATGGGAGTATGCATTCCCATAGCTATATCTAGTCAGGTGAAGCGTATGACACCCAAACGGATGATAGTATATGGAATCATCAAGGTAATTATTGCCTACTTCATTTGTCGAAAATAATATAGGAAACCTAGTGACGAACATGAATTTTCTTTTTTTGATGCATATTTCAGAGGAGCATTCTTCTGTTTTTAATCGGATTATCTCTGAACACGGTGAGCACCGGCCCGCAGCTCGAAACCATTCGCATAATGGGTGTACTCCAACGATTTGGTATAACGTACTTCGTCGTTGCGCTAATGTACTTTTGTTTAATGTCGAACAGATTGAGCAAAGTACAAGTAAGTTGCAAACAAGATTTATCGATGTTGAATTCATTGATAGAGAGACATAATAAATGCATTCGATATCCAAGATAGCATGTAGAATATTAAAAGTACATTTGTACAGTTATTAAACAGTTATTAAAAAATATGAATGCAACAATGACAGAATTTTGTAATTTTGTATAATTCTTAATGATTTAAGAATATTTTAAAATTAAGATAATATCAATTTCAATTTCAGTCTCCGATGTTACGGGAAGTGCATGATATTCTCTTGCTCCTTCCGCAGTGGTGCCTGATAGTAATAATCCTGGCGGTTCATTGCGCGATAACGTTTTGCCTAAAAGTTCCCGGATGTCCCACGTATGTACGTACGATTCGATGATTAATTCGAATATCTCGCGAAATCATTCAAGCGTCTGATCGCAGTGGGTACCTCGGCCCTGGTGGTCTACACGAAGACGCACAGTATTTTGACTGCGTGGGTGGAGCAGCGGGTTACATCGATAGAATGATACTCAAAGAGGCGCACTTACATCACTCAGCCACGGTTTACGACTCGGGACCGTTCGATCCCGAAGGAATTTTGGGTAGACAAATTCTCATAATTAATGAATAAAAACTGAAGAAAAAATTGTTATCTATAGTGTTCTTCACTTGAATAGCCTCGAACAGCTCAAACTAGTTTCCCTAGAAAAGTGTATATAACGTGAATAAAATAACATACATTTGTATATAAATTTTTATCCGAGGCTATTCAAGTGAAAAATACTGTATGATAAATAATAAAATATAGTAATAGGTAAAATTGTGCAGATCTATATAGACTTCTTATAATTCATCAATTGATATCACAAAAAATTTGTCCGTTGATAACAATATTAATATTGATCGTGAAGGTACTTTGACCACGACGTTCCACGTGTTCCTGGGGCTGCACGCTGGCATTATCATGATGACTTACAAAGGTTGGAAGGAACGCGTAATCAGGTGGCTCACTTGGGCCGCGATTTTCGGTTGCATCGGGTGTATTCTCCACTTCACCAATGTTATTCCCGTCAACAAAAAGCTTTGGTACGTCATATGCAAAACTATTTTTCTCACTATTACTCTTACTACTACTATCCGTCAGAATCTCGAAGAACAAAAGGACATAACTTACAATTAGATCTACAAACAGGATATTTCAAATTTTCATTAGAGACTCTAATAAAATAGTTAGAAACCATGTCCTTTACTTTTTTATTCAAGATTTCGAAAAATAGCAATTTTTTTTTAATTAATTATATAGTATACTAAGTCTTGTAATATCCCACAGAAAATTAAATTGTTTGTTTCAATATATTAAAAGAGTTATTCCGTTTTTAAATGTGTCCGAATATTAATGGGAATCACAGCGAGACAAATTGATATAATTGATTGGTTCGATTACTATGTATACAGGTCATTGTCGTTCGTTTTCGTAACGACATCATTCTCCCTGGCCTTTTTATCCGCCTGCTACCTGCTCGTTGACGTCATAAAAGTGTGGAACGGTGGACCTTTCCGAATACCTGGTACGTTCCACTTTCACGCGATTATGCAATACATTTATTCACGTTGCATATTGGAAAAAACTACTTTAAAAATTTTCAAGTCTCAACAAGATATAAATTATTATATTTTATAACCACTGACTGTCTGACTGAACTGCAGATTTTATAGAATGTACAAAATAATCGAGCCTACAGGAAATGTAAACGTGTAAAAATCTATGTATATATAAAATGTCCGATCATATTTGAGAAATTGATTATTTACAGGTATGAACGGTTTGTTGTTGTACGTCGGGCACATGGTGTGCTATCAAAACTTCCCTTTTCACTGGAGCATCGGGAACATGAGCAGCAGAGCGTTGCATTTATGCGAGTCAATTTGGGGCACCGCGTTATGGACGATCATTGCATACATAATGCATAAAGATCGTACTTACATCACTTTATAGCACTGTTACCATATTCACACAAACGTATGGAGAAAATAAAGATAATGGGAACCGATACTTTACAAATAATTTATTTTACACAACTTACATAAGTATACGTAACACAATGACGGGTCGAGGTAACGTGATTTCTCCTATTCAAGCTTCGATTATAATTAACCCTTCCGCGATTTCGTATAATTATTATCAGCGGTATAAATTGTCCACAACACATTTTAAACACAGAAAATTCCTCTTTTCATCGTGCGCTCTGCAAAAGGGTTAAAAAGTACAAAGCCCGGTAGTTTCTCGTTTTGATTCTTCTAAGGATCATCCCTTAACGATATTTGCACACACTGCGGGGTCACGAGGGACGGGGCTGGGAACCATGAGACCTGTTCGGGCAACAGATACGCGTGGACGAGGCGAACGAGGAGTTCCGATGGTCAATGGTAGTGTTAAACGATTCGCTACGGATAGTAACAAAATAGAAAATAAAAGAGAAAGAAAGAGTAAAGCACACTAACAATGCCGTGTCTCCGAAGGCGGCATCCGACCTTGTTCAATAATCCGTTGCATCGGGACCTGGAAATTCAACGAGATCACATTATTCACGATCCATTTACATTTTGTTCAAAGGTCTGTGGAATTCTGCGAGCATATCAAGATCTTATCATGATCTCTTGCAAATAAATATAAACGGATATCATAGAATAATATATTTTATAATGGATTCATTAAAAATGCAGATGCTTATAATTATAACGTGAAGATAATTAAAGAACAGTGAATAATATTTATTTAATGCGTTGGTACAGCGAGTTCCCATCCGATTATCGATTGTCAAGATTTCAATCAATTAATTAACTGAAATTCGATAAAGCTGCGATTTAACTGATGTTGGCTTGGGTAAATAAAATAGCAAACATGCACAAACATACTTTATACACTCGAAACTCATCACTATTCTACGTAAAACCACACTGCAATTGTTAGTACATTGTTTTAGGAGTAATACTTTCTGAAATAGAATACACAACGATAAATATTATCTTCATGAACAGATTTATCAATAATCGATATGATCGAAGAGGAGACGAAGGTCGAAGGCTCGTACATTTTTCAAAAATACTACTTAGAACAAAAGAAACAATCATATGTGGGAAGCGTTAATGCCGATCAAGGAGGAAACACAAAACCGTTTCGACCAGAATGGTTAGTAATCTCAGCGTAAAGAGCAAGACAAACAGAAAAATAAAAAATCAACTCCGGATCGTTGATAATAACTGACAATATAATATGATAATACTCGAACAAAGTAAAAAGAAAATGATTACCCGAGTGCAGGATGTGAGCTCATCTCGGAGCAAAGTAAAAATCTGCGTTATAAATAATTTCCGTAATCTTTCGTTTCTTAAACAGTGCCGAAGGCAAAGGAAAGAAAACGGAGTATTCATAACTGGATCTAATAAGAAATAGAAACGGAACAACTAGTGACGATAGAAATATACAAGTGCGAATAGACGAATGTATGGAAACGATAATGTGTACTGATAGAAAAGAAAACCAATGTCAAACGTAAAGAAAAGAAAACGGAACTCGTATCCATAACTCAATCTATAATGCAAGATAAAAAAATGAAAAAATAAACACTTGTGACAGTAGAACAGTGTAAATAAAAAAAAAAATAAGAAAAACTGAAGAATAAAGTGCGAGTAGATGAATATATGGAAACGATATGTACCGATAGAAAAAAAAACCACGTAGCCTGTAGCCCCCCGGGCATAGTATATACAGTTCAGCCCAGTCTTGCGAATCTAGAGAAAAGTGTGTGCGCGAGGCTCGTCCGTGGACCGGTTGCTCGCGGCCGAAAAAGCGGCCCTCATTCTGCCCCGGGCCATCAGCAATGGTCGGTTTTCAGGGACGAGGGGTGACAGGATGCCGGGTCTGTTTTGTCGTTCAACGCGCGCGGCACGCTTTTCGTGCTCTTTATCCGCGGACAGAGCACGTTCACTCTGTACGACCACAGCGGCCTGCGATTCTCGAGTACCTTGAAGGCCAACGAGGGTACCACGTCCTGATCCGACGGCGAACACTTGGGCATTTTCCAGGCCTGATAATATGGATCCTCTTTGCACGATACTCGATCTTGTCGAGTCAGAGGATGACCGTTCTGATTTTCCGACTGTTCGTGGACAGGTGAAAATTCTGGGGACGTGAGGCCGCTCGAGTGATTCGAGAAGTAATTCTCGTCGTAATTAAAAGTCGTTTGCAACGGGAGGCTGAGATATTCTCTTCCCGCCGAGGAGTCGTTCGGTTTTTCTTCTTGTAGAATTGAGTCGTCGTTCAACAGTCTAAATAACCTCGAGTGCGTCTGAGTTCTTTGGTACTTTTTCATGTTTTTCGACGAGGTGCATTCCGAGTCGGTATCTACTTCCGAGATCATGCGACTCATGTCGGAAGTGACGCCGCTGTCCTCGTCGTCGGTCTCCTCTCGAGAATTTTGTACATTGAGTAAGTGTTTCGTCTCTTCTTCTTTTTTACTCTTCTTTGAAATTTCAACGCTCTCTTCAAACTCGTTATTCTTTAATTTCGAATCGGTGTGTTGGTTGAATTCAGAGACTATCACTTCCGGTTTCAAGATATTTCGATTGATATCACGAGTCTCGGATTCATCGTTCGTTAAATCTTCAATTTTACACTTTGCATCGTTCGCTTCTTTCTCCTTGTTTGTTCTCGTCTTTCTCTTTATCGTAAACTCTGTCTCTACAGTTTCTTCGTAATTAATTTTGCTATACCTGGTTGGGATCTTTCTCAACGTAAAATTTACGCACGGTACCACAACGTCGTCATCATTTTTCATTTCCTCTTTTAATCTTTCATTGGAATTCTTCCTTTTTCGTTTACTTTCATCTTTCTGAACCATAAAATCAACGCTGGTATCACTCTTATCGGCACTCTTATCAGTACTTTCTAAGGTATTCTTACTATCCTGTATGTTTGTGTGATTCTCTTCCTTAGCTTTCTCAGACTTCAACGTCGACGTCTTTCCCAAAGTGTTCTTACTTTCATCTTTGACGTATCCTCTCTCAGGCTTGATAGTACTGTCACCAACTATAACAGTAGTCACATCCTCGTTGTTCTCAGACACGGAGAACTTGAACCTCAATGGCAGACTGACGCTGACAGTAGGTGCGTCAGAATCATCAGGAGGGTCATCGGTTGCTTCGAAAGGCGTATTACTTGGCCTGGGAGTCTCTAAATCCCTTTCTACGTCCTCATAAATTACACTCAATTGATGAGGAAATTGATTCACCTCAGATTTCTCTTTATTCAGTTGTTCTCCTTTATCAGATTCGCAGGTCTGTGAACTTGGTTCTGTGTCACTGTTATTCTCATCATTGCAAGACTGGCTCCTCTCGTTATCGTTCACCAACCTTCCATGAGGGTTCAGTCCTGTCGAATACGCCAAATAGGAGTCAGAGTCGTCGCTGTCCGACGAAGATTCGTCAGAATTATCACTGCTACTTTTTGAGGAATCGATCACGGATTCCTTATCAGACTGTGATTCAGTGTCACTGGAATCGCTGGAATCACTCGTATCGATATAAGTATAATTAGGAACGGTCACGTTCAGACCAGTGCCGGCGTTTTCCGATTGTTGCTCGATTCCTTCAGGAATCTCCTCCTCGTCAGTGATATTCATTGCAGTGGTACAATCACTGTCTTTACTGTTATTGCTATCAGTGCGGGATACACTATTCTCCCATTGAAGATCGTCCCCGACGTTATCTCCGATCATTTGCTCATCTTCTACCCCGTTACCTTGGATATCCTCTGAAAAATTGATTACCGGTTCAGTTCCTGGTACTGTCGCGTTATCACTAATCTGTCCATGACTCTGATCACAATTACTACCACTCGGCGACGAAACGGGGACGACGTAAGGTTGACAGCACACGTTTTTATTGTTCATTGGATTATACTGTGGAGGGTTTTGATTGTAAATGGGAAAGTATACGTAGGCAGTGTCCGGATGGTAACTGTTCACGACACCGGGATAAGGGAGCGGGTAGTAGCCCCAGCAAACGTTCTCGGGCGGTAGAAACGGGGGATAGGAGAGGAAGACACCCTGCTGATTGCCCGGCACGTTATTCTCTGTTTGGCAGCGGAAATCTGCTTGACGATTTTCTTGCGTGGCTACAACAAACAGCAGAATGCATTCAGAACAACAATTTCAATTGTTTCTTCCAATCGTGTTGTTGGTGTGGTCTTGCGTTTCTCCCTTTCTCTGTTCTTTCATTCCCGATTGGCTGTCCTTCGGATTTGTGGTCTTGGTGTTTCATAGGAACGTGCGATAGACATTTAATTCATTTCGTAATACATCGTAAATATTACATTATTATTATTATTGTTTTATAAATACAAGATGTACGTCCATCTTTATGAATGCTATCCAGTTTGTACGAGAATCGTTGCAGATTTCTTCTTTACAAATAATTCCGGTGAGAGAAGACAGTTAAGATTAATTCATGCTTACACGATATCAAAAGTTGAACTTAGATAAGATTAGATAAGAGATGCAGTTCTCGATACATAAACAAGATGCTTGTTCCCAGAAATCTGTGAACGACAATTATTATCATCATATATTTTTTAATCAGATTCATGCGAAATAAATGTCTAACGCGAGCCCCTCGAGTCGGGAAAAGCGAGGTGCCACGGATTTATCCCAGGGGTAAAGCGACGAGTGTACAGAGATAGACAGACAGATAGAGGTAGAGTGTGGTGATCCTGTGTTCAAAGGAAACGACCGAAAATTTATCGAGACCCGGCGACAATAAAACATCTTTATTATCATCGCAATATAAACGGGTGGAATCGTTCGGAAGACATGCTCGTATGTACAATATATTCCGGACGAAGTATACTCCTAGCCACATGCACTTTGTAATTGTAGTATTAAATCCCAGCGAGAATTAAACACGATTAATAGAACATGCAACATTCCCAGTTTAGTTTACCCAAAGTCCATACCGTAGCTGGCCATACGTTTTTATACCGGGTGAATTTCGTAATACGAAAACTTCGAATAACTGGTAAAGTATTTGTTGTACGACAAAAGGTTTTAAACAAACGTTGCATGGCTTCTAGGGAGACATACAATGGTGTGATCTTTCTTTTTTTATTGAGACCTGAGGGTCATCTTGTGAGGGGACTTGCATGGGACCTGTGAGAGGACCCTCATATCTCGATAAAAAATAAAAAACCCCAAAACAGATCACAGTATTGCATGTCTCTCTGGAAGTAATGCAACATGTTTTTAAGAACCTTTACCGTGCAACGAATACTCGAAAATATTCGAAATCGTCACGTTACGAGGCCCACCCTGTACAGTATATTTACTAATCTCAAATTAACTGATTCGTTTCGATAATCGGATTTTAATTTTCGACTTGATTTTAAAGATCTGCCTATAATAATACACCTACCATGCAGCGTTTTTCTCCTATGTTTAAAGTTAGTTAACAATCGACGCTTCTCCATAAACGGGATTGTTGTGTCGATCGTTAAAAATCATGGGGGACATTTAATAATTAATGATGATCGTGAATTTTGTTGGACAGGGGGAAACTCTATAGCTGAACAGCACCAAGGAATTTTCGTTATTCCTGTGAACACAGGATTCGGGAATGTTCCAGCGACTATTTTCAATTAATTCGATTAACGATGTGAACAAGCCGATCGTCACTGAACATTAAATGTGAACAAAGGTGAGAATAGAAGCCTGTTGCGATTAATTCATGATGAACGAGTAGCGTGTCCTATGCATGAATTCATGAACGTGTCGTACGCGTTTCCTTGTCCTCTTATCTCAAGTAGATTTCCTTTTATTCGATACTCACCGACGCTCTCCGGTGCTGTCATCGCTTGCAGTATCCTGAACGATCTCGACGGAATCGCGCTGCCCATGTATTTCTTTGGCTCTTGAACTTGTTGCTCGCTCGGCGGCAAATTTGCTTGAGATTCTTCTACAAAAAAATTCATACATAATGAATATTCCAGTTTCTGTCCACATCACAATTTTTACTCACTGCCTTCTTTTCCTATAATTTTATATCTGATCTTAAGCCAGTAAGTAGAAATTAGGGCATTTTCTATACAAGTTTTAACTAAAAATGCCATGTTCCAGTGATTTACTTACCGAAAGTCTTTGAATTCCTATTCTGCTTCCTGTTTATAGCGGACGGCGGTCGTTGCGCTGTAACGTGCAATTTTTTTATTTCAATAAATGCCGAACATTTCGTAATGAAACTGAAAGTGGGAAATCTTACATGCATTCATAACGGGAACTTCACCGGCGTCCGTCATAGTCTGCAGGAAACGGAAAGCTCTGGACGGTATAGCCGCGCCACGGTATCTCGGATCCTCCTCGTGATGAAGGGAAGAGTCGTTATCAACTGTATTAAACATAAAAACAACAAAATTATGCATCCATTCAGTTGTTGATACAATAAACCCACGGTTTCCTAGTTAATACCTTGTTCTTTGAACTTGTTCATCAGGATCCTGTCGTCCTCTGTCAACTGCAATTTCCGCATCTGTTCCGTGTCTACGTCGTTCGGGTTATCGGTATCAGTGATCTTCTGGAGAACTCTGAACGATCGGGATTGAACCGGACCGGGTTCCTGCACCTGCACCGGTACGATACGTTGCCTGGCAATTCAATTTTCAATTAGATTCGAATCATTCGAAACAAGAACTTTGTGAACTTACACTTTCCCAGTCTGATTCTCAGCGTTAGGTGTGCTATTTCTAATTGGCTGAGAGTACGAGTTCGCACCAGGCTTCCTCTCGCTCCCTTCGATCATTATGGGTATGATGTAACCACCTCCGGATTGTTGAGGCTGCGGTGTTTGCTGTACTTGATTTTGCACTTGATTCTGTGCTTGATTCCAATTCTGGTTCTGTGCTTGATTCCAATTTTGATTTTGTGCTTGATTCCAATTTTGATTCTGTGCTGGCTGACCCCATCGTTGCTGATGATGAGGACTCGGCTGTTTGAATTGATGATGTCCCGCTTCTGGTTTCACGTCGAACACCGAGGGTCTATCCTCGATCTGTAAATACAAATGCGATATGAAATTTAAAATTGTCTATTAAAATTGTTGATCTTTTCGAACTTATCAAGCTGAGACTACAAATCGATTTTCTTCAGCAGTGAAAATACTTAAAGATCTTTATTG